AGCTGCTGTTAAATTGCCATCAATAACAACCAATTGTGATTTTAACCAGTGTGAGATTACTCCCCACACCATTACTGAACCGCCCCCAAACCTATCCCTCTCTACAACGCAAGCGTCCGTAAAACGTTCGCCACGACGTCGGTAGACACGTTGACGGCCGTCAGATCGATAAAGACAGAATCGAGACTCTTCCGTGAAGAAACTTGTGGAAACCGTCGTGGAGCATGTGCAGCGACCCAGGCCATACGACGCTGACGTCGAGCAGGGGTAAGGTGTGGACCTACGTAGGGGCGACGTGCTCTTACACCAACTTTTCGTAATCGATTCCTTACAGTTTTTGAACTTATAGGACACCCATGATTTCCATGAACATTAAGTGCACTCTCAACGGCAGTAAGGCGCCGATTACGCACATGAGAGACGACGATATAGCGATCCTGACGTCGTGACGTTACGCGCGGATGTCCTGACCTAGGTCGATCGGCCAATCGCCCAGTTTCCCGAAGACGTCTTACAAGACGTTCTATGGTGGAAACATTAACACCAAAGTGCCTAACAACCTGATTTTGCAGCTGTCCTAGCATCAGCATCTGAATGGCCTGACCCCTCTGAACTTCTGTGAGTCGTGCCATTCTTAAAACGAATCAAATTCTCAATTAATTTTAGGGAAGCAGTTGGTCTGTATAAAGACTAACGAAGAGTGACTTGACCGACGCTGCACGAGACCAGAACAACACGGTGCACGAGATTCTTGTTTTTTCCTTCCTCCATTTACCAGAGCTGCGCACTGTACCGTGACTAAATTTTCGATACATGACAAGGTGTAATATGACCTAATTACTCAATTCACAAAGTTTCACTTTATTTGGAGAACGCGTTTTCAAAATATCGGAATAAATATTACCCTGCGTTTCTTTATCCTTTCAGTATACTTCATTTATGATATAAATATATATTATTACAGAAATACTTAATTACAAGCTAACCGGTAAAATAAAGTTATGCATCTAATTTTTTTTTCAAACTCCCTGATGTTTTAAAACAAACTTAATCATATATCAACATAAAATTAGTATCAGTTTTCAGTTTTCTGATGTTTGCATTTAAGTACGTAATTTATTTATCTATATATAATAACTCTGTAATTTAATGCTTTAATTAGACCTTACTATTTGAAAATAACTAAACAATATCCCAAAGCTTTTCTTATCGGCTAATAATTTTTATTGCTTATAGTATGTGGTCTTGTGTAATCTACACTGTGATTTGTGACACTGCGATTGTAGTTACAGTTATTAAATGTTGAATACAAAATTCTTTTTTTTTTTAATTTTATTTATAGTTTTCAATAGTTTTTAAATTTTTATTTTTATGTTTTTAAATCTCATACTTGTGGTATATTGCCAGTCTAGTAGAAGTTGGGGAGTTTTCTCCCCTTACCTAATATTTGTATTCATAAGCACTGGCAATGTTAATTTGGTCAAATTCATCGGTAAATGAAACAGATCACATTTAGTAGTTTCATTGGGTCTGATTTGGGTAGAAATTGAAATATATAGATATGCGTGTTGTTTCTTTTGTATCAGTGCATATCTGATGTCAGTGTGAATGACACGTGTTGTTCAAAAAAGGGATTAGTATTCTCGATAAGATAAGTAATCGAAGATTGGACATGAGAACATCTGTGGACCCAGTTGGAGAAAACGGGCATCAGGACATCCACGTTTCTCCGTGCAATATCCAAGATGTGTGCACCCAGTCCAGAGTTGTTGTCAGGCCTCGAAATTAACGCTTTGTAACTTGCAAAATGCGAGTTAAAGTGAAGAAATTGCGAGTTAAACTCATGTCAACTCGAATTTTTTTAAAGATACGTTTTTCGTGAACATTTTGGTTGAACAATACTAATGCAATGTTAGTAATGTTTACATGTTGAGAACGTGACATACGAGTTCCATTAACAATGATAGTAAGGCCATGCGGAAATCCTTGAGGTTTTACCCCGACAATAATGTACAGTAAGATCAAACAGTCGGAAGCAATCGGGTACAGCGGTACAGCTATCGTTTATAAGATTCAAATACGACTTAAAGTTGAGACAAATTACCAATTTAAAGTCTAGCCTAGTCACCATGATTACCAATTATTTCAAAAGAATGGCTTCCGATGAAACAAAGTCAGACCAATCAAAGCGAAAATTGTAGACGACAATAATTCCCCCTGTCCATCAAAATCGGAGAGTAAAAAAGAACCAGGTCGTTATACTGCTAGTTTGAAGACTTTGAGAAAGTGAGAAAGGGGGATGAACAATTCCATAAGTTACACGATGTCGTCTGACTCTCAACAAGATATAGTGGACAGCATATGGTGCAAAACATGTAGTCTTTTTGGCAGGGACCCCTTGCTAAACACGAGTACTTTTTCTGCTTGAATCTAAAATGCACAATATCTATCTTGTCAAAGGACAAGCATGATTTCATGTAGGATAAATAAAATCTGCCAAAATAAAAAAAGAAAGATTTTTCTCCACTTTTCCCAACACTTTTCTCACCTGGGGTATTTGGGATGGGGATGATTCGTTGCAACATTACGTTTACTAATTAAGGGGAGATAACTCATTTTCAAATACTAAATCTTAAATCAAGTGTGCTATTTGAATGAAATAATATCTCACGGGTGTGAAAATATTTTTAAAGCTGCATAATTTAAAAAAGTTCCTTTGGTTAATTTTGTTATATTTTCCGTTATTGAAAAAAGACATTGTTTTATATAAAATAAATATGATCTACCATTTCATAATATGAATTAAAAATTTTGGTTATACGTAAGGAAGAAAATAAAAGATAAATCGGCTTATGAATGTTTGTATTGTGTTCCTAACATTCCACTACATCAGAATAAGACTTGAGGAATTTATAGAGCTCATGTTTATCTTGAATTGTTACATCCTTTTCAGTTTGACATGGGTTAAAAAAATGTGTAAAGAAGGAAGGGGTGAAGTATGACATGGTTTCAGCAGCTGAAGAATTAAAAAAAGAACTCTGTAATAAATATTTCTGTTGAATTGTTTTTTCTTTTCTGTATGTTTTCTGAAAAGTAAATATGAGTTAACTTATGAATCAATTAGTACAAGCTTAGCTTGTCTTGATTTCTGAGACTGAAAAAATTTCACTCATTAAGTTGGGTTCCTTTCAACCTTGAATTCTGGAAAGAAATAACAAAAATAAGCAATGTGCGTTCCTAATTATTCAAATAAATGATCAAATAAGGCACATAAAAAGACTTGCTATGCATTGTGTTGAAATTAATGAAAACACTAAAAAATTTTGCTAGTTCATATTTTTTGCTAGTAGGAATTTTTGGCACTGGCAGTGATTTACTAGATATCAATTGAGTTGAATTTCGACACCTGGTATATTATTATAATTATTTTTATGACAAACTGATATAGTGAATGAGTGAGTGATGATGATAATGATTGTGGTGTAAATAAGAAGATGATGATGATGATGATGTAAATAAAATGATGATGATTGTGGTGTTAATTAAATGAAATATTACTCAAAAGAGAGATGCAAAGTATGCCAATATTGACTATGTTGGGGAACGCATGGACTTTGAGCTGAAATGACAAAGGATGGACTGGTTTGGGGCCAGAATAGCTAGACGGTAAAACCAGGAGAAGTCGGAATGATCTGATTTGGGCATATAAATTCTGTCAGCTCACAACATGTTGGAGTCAACACACAGCAATACGTGATTATATCCAGAGGAATTTGACTGGAAATACCTGTAAAATGGGAAAGTGTTAAGTATCTATTAGTTGGAGCCATCTGCTCGACCCTTTTATGCTTTTCATTTTATCTATTTACACCAGACCAGCTTGATATTACAAGTAACTAAATATAAATAATGACTCATATTTCAAAATCTAAATTTTAGAAAAGGTGCTCTGGACTCACTTAAGAAAAATCCTACTAAAAGAACTTTTAAGTGATGGAATGTCAAAATGAGCATACATAGCTTTGTTAAAGAAAAATCCATCTCTGTATCATTGAATGTTTCTATAAAGAATCAAGTAGGTGTAAATAAACAACAAAAATAGACTGTATAGATCATTTAGTTATCTATCTTTATCTGAATACAGCACTCTGATAGCTAAAGAACATGTTTCACAACAAACGATGTCCAGTCTCAGGGTAACATCAGTGTCCTGTAAAATATAATCCCCGCCACATCGACAAGTGTAAATATACTGACATTCCTCTTCTGAATCCCCCAATTCCTGTACCACAAATTCGTCAATATCTACTTCATCCTGAATTGGCCAGTCCTGTGCCAAGCAACGTTCAGTCCATAGCGCGTCATATTTTTGTCTCAAATGCTTGTCGCTCAGTATTTTCCATGCACGATTTACACGTACAAACATAGCAGTCGATTTTACTTTTTCCTCTTCGCCTTCTTGTTTATCTGGATGGAATTTCAATGCGAGCCTCTGATAGGACTTTCTCAAATCTTCAAGTCTGTCATAGTTTTCACATTCAAGTATGCTATAAAGATCTTCCATTGTACATTTCAGTTCAAAAACGATACCATTGAATGTCCACTTACAGTTTTTTTTCCAAAATTCTTCAGCGTTCATCACTTACTTCCATTGTAATTTTCAGTTCCTAAACGATACCTTTGAACGTCCTGTTATAGTTTTTTTTCTTTTCAAAATTCTTCATCTTGTATCACTTATTTCATGGGCGCTGCCATTTTGAAAAAGGAACAAGCAGCCGATAGTTTTTACGTCAATTTATAAATAATATGATTGATAAGCTGGTTATCAACCCATATAACATTAATGGACAAAATAATAAAGCACTTTGAATCTCTGTAATACTGGCGTTCATCTGTCGTCAAATTTGATATGTTTTAATGTTATAATCCGCTGTTTATCGACTAGTTTATCATCCTAGTTTATCTTAGTTTTTTAATCACTTCCGGTTACAGTCTCGGCCATGGCTCCGTCAACTGCAGACATCGTTGCCGGTTTTAAAAGCGTTTTAATTCCACATTATATTGGAAATGTCGTACTAGCGCTTTCCTATTTTGTGATGAAGACATTTCCTCCGATATGCTCACGTTTATTTGACGACTGCAGTCTGGAATTGGTATGTATAAGCAATCGAATCCAATGCTTGTGACCTTCTGGCACGACTTCTGAGCGTCACCTGTCAACTTTAGATGTAACGCAATTAATCATGTAAACATAGCGTTTGTGAACAGCAGTTTTCTTATAATCATACAAAATTTTGTTTGGTTTGTACCATAAAACCCGGGCTATTGTCATTATTAATACAAACGGATTTCTTTTAAAATGATCAGAAGATGAAATTTCGGCACATCGGAAATTAAACCTATTTCAAAATTTTAAAAGAGTATTACTTCATCACATGAAATCTTTTCTATACTTACTTGCCATATTGATATATTTCACAGTTCTGAAGTGATTTATCAAAAAAAAAACCCCTATTGTATCATACATCATTCGTTGTAATATTAATAAAATCATAAGGAATGAGGCTTTCTGTATATGTGAAATGATGCCATTTTGGAACGACAAATTATTCTGTGATGTAGTGTTTGTGACCATGTTTACTCAGGCATTGACTAATCTAATAGATGATTTGTTGTAGTTTAATTTGACCACTTGCTCATTGTTTGAAATATGAAAATAATTCTTTGGGAAGCCAAAGATGTCAGTCTTTCATTCACTTTGAAGTGGAACAATATGCATGAGAACTCTTCATCTGAAGCAACAGGGTTTAACCGTGGTGTATACCTTATCGACACACAACTGATCTCGGTTTCATGATTGATGTATAAAACTTTCCCTGGGTTATGATCTTAATACTACACACTTTGGATTGTCTTAAGGGATTGCAGAGTCTGATTCTGTACATGCTGATTTATCATGGCTCCATTGCAGTTTGCATTTATTCAAGTCATGTTGCATGTGTGTTACATGTTACAACATGAACAATAAGACATCATAATTGTGACCTTGATTACATGAAGTGTTTGCTGACAAGATTCTGTGATTTTGTTTAAAAAATGTGCCACATATGCATTTAGAATTCTTATTCTTGCTTTAATTAGATATTTATTTCTGAAAAATGAAAATATAATGAAGATATTTTTTATATATTTGCTCTTGTTCATTCTTGTGCTTAATCATGATTGTGTCTGTGATGTGAAATTACTTGTTCTATACTGATTCTATTCATAAATGATAAGTGTGTGATTTTAGATTTGTTTGTTGTTTTCATTACAGAAAGAGTGGGAATGGATAACTTTCCTTGGCTGTATAATTGTACTGAAGAACAGAAAACAGGGTAAGTTTGTATAAATAGGTGTTTGAAATAAAATCTCATTCTTGTAAAACTATATATGCTTTATTCTCTGATACTTTTTAGGTCACCTGACTCAAAAGGTCAGGATAACCTATAGTAATTGTTTTGCCAAACATTGTGCTCCATCTGTTTACATAAACTTTTCATATTTTAAATTTCTTTCCAAGTTTCATAATGATTGACCTGAAACTTGCCATCCTTGATTCTGAGATGGTACTGACAAAGTGTTTTTATTTTTTGGGCATGATTGAAATCCAAGGTGGCTGACATTTTGAAAATGACATTTTTCATGTAATGAGTTTCGCTGGTGCCATTAAGAAAAGTTAGCAGGATGTTAAGGAAGCCTCCTCAAAACATTAACATTGCAGTCACATGCACTATGGTCATTTTTATAACATGATGTGGTTGTTGTGCATTTGTACTTTTCCATCTCTTAAAAAACACACACATCTTAAACTCCTTTACCAGTTCCACAGTTGCCATTACACTGCTAATGCTAATGTTGGTTAACAAAAAAGTATAATAGCTATTTTCAAAACGCATAATAGCCATTTGTACTTTTCCATCTCTTAAAAAACACACACATCTTAAACTCCTTTACCAGTTCCACAGTTGCCATTACAAAATAACATATTAATGATACTCAGTTTAATGTTGATCCTAAATAAAATACATATCTTAATTTTCTTCTCCAATATTTTCAGATCATTAATGAGTATTGGAGTGGTAAATTAAGATCTGTATTTTGATCAGATTTGACCCCTCGATTAAAACTCACAGTATTGTTGACCATTGATGAAATGTAACTTGACCAATTAGATTTATAAACAATTCTTTAATTGATTAAATACTGACATTTTTCGTATCTATTGACCAGAAATGTAATCGATATCAACTGATTGTATTTTAATTAACCTACAAGAAATGTTACATCAGGAAAGAGAACATTAAGCAACTTTTCCTGATGACGTGTGACATATTAAATACAGTACAGGGAAGATGAATATGCATCAATTTGTTTGATTAACAAATATTGGACATATCTATCTCCGAGTAATTTTTTTGAGGGTTTAAAAACTTTGTTTTTTGTTCCGTTTTAGCAACAGTGGGTGCTTATGTAAACACGGCATGCTTATTTGCCAAAGTCTTGTGTGGCTTTATGTTCTTCAGGACCAATTCTCTGTATGGCATTTTATATGGAGTAGCATGTTTAAGTAAGTATGTTTAATACATTACTTAATAAATATAGACCATTGATGAGGTCACTATGGTGTTATATTAACTCTGTAGAAAACTATCTTCCCTCCATCACTTTCCTCGGTCATTGTAAATATTTCAAATAAATATAAAGCCAGGATTAGAATATCAAAAATTATCCTCTAAGACACGTACATCATATTCTGGGGCCCATATGGTCCGGCTGTATTAAATTTAGAAACATTGCAGGGTTTTCCATAAGCATATTCTGGGGCCAATATGGTCCGGCTGTATTAAATTTAGAAACATTGCAGGGTTTTCCATAAGAGCCGGTCACCGGCCAATTTGACCGGCTACTTTGATCATTTGGCCGTCTACACCAATCCAGTTCCGTAATAATGTTCCGTACACGGCAGGCCAGTCTCCTACTTTCACTACACAGCCTACTACTAACAAAATTATGGAAAACCCTGCATTGAAGCCCAATTTTTATATATGTGGTAATTCACCTACAAATAATGATCATTTATCTAATCAGTACAAGGGAAAATCTTAATATTAGTAATATATATAGTTATGAATCTGTTTATGTAAGTATTGTTGTTACATTACATGTACACAGACTTTAATTTCTGTAAACAATTGTTCTTGTTTGGTGATATTTTGTGATCTGTTTGATAAGAGTTATGTCCCTTGTTCGATGTTTCAGTAACAAGTTGCTAACTTTTTTGACATTTCAGTACACTTTGTATTCCTGCCAGAGCCAATGTACACAGGTCCAGAGATGGTTACATACTTCCGGGGACCAAACCTAGACGTAGGTTTTCTAACCTCATTATTACTGTTACAGTTATGTATATTAGGTTGATGCTGTGTATTTTCATAACATACCACATCAGCAATTTACATTCTGTTCAAGGTATTCATTTTGGTTGAGGAAATCAAACAATAAATATTTAAAGTACAATGCATTGAGGGACTTATAAATGCTACACTTCATCTTAAACATAAGGAAATAAGGAAATAGTACTCAAAATTGTTAATTCTCTATAGATACAATAAGTATGGAGCTGAGAGAGCTTCAGATGTGACATGAAAAAGTACATTTTATCACATAGGTTTTTTTTTGACTCATCAAAAGCTTATTAAAATGAAAAAATAATAAATTTTTTCTGTATTGAATTTTGTATGAAATTGAAACTTACGTAAGATCCTATATTTATCAAGAATGGATATAAGTTGGTATATATGCAGATCACCAAGTTTGTTGTAATATATGATAAAAATGTATTGATATGTTTGTAGGAAGAAATTAAGCGTGACCGAAGAGTGACGTGGTTGATTGCATTTTATGTGGCCTGGTCTCCCCCTTGTGTATCATTCGCCAGCCTATTTTCTGAACTCTCAGCAGAGTAAGTACTGTTAAATTTGTTTGTGAATAATCATTAGATATGTCAGAGAGAATTTATATGAAAAATATCAGCTATGATGCCAGTCATTTCCAGTAAATACAGTAATTTAGTGATGTACATTGTTTGTATGTATCTATTATAATCTTTTGATATGATGTTTGTTGTGTTTCAGATACAGTTTGGACAATCTAAAATTTGGAAAAATAGATATTTCAAAGTATCCAGAAGTAGCAGAAAAGTAAGTATTTGTTAATGTAAGGATTTAAAAAAAAAAAAAGAAAATCCAGTCATACGTTTACGAGCTGTTATCGGTCACATCAACATTAAAATTTATATCCTAAAATGCAGGTGCAGTATCTTTTCCTATAAAAAATTCTGACAAAAGTGTTCATTCTCTGTTATATGGCATTCTTTCCAAATTTAATATGAAAATAATTTCCTACAGGTCATCTTTTTTTTAAGATTTATTGTTAAATGTTCCAAGATGGCAACCAAGCTCTGATGTAATTAGTTACTGTGATTCAACAGCTTACTTTGATTTTCAGATAAAAATGGAAATCAGAGATACCAGACTTTCCTGTATAATGTTTAAGTGGATCAGAGATACTGAGCTTTTTTGTATAATGCTTAAATTGATAAGAGAGTATAGTGTTTAAGTTGATTAGAGATAACCAAATTCTCCTGTATAATGTTTTAGTTGATCAGATACCAAACTCTCCTGTGTAATGTTTTAGCTGACAGTATTTGTTATCAGAGTATCATTTACAAACAAGTTTATGTAGGAAGAATTTTGAACAAAAGTCATTTGAGGACATTTCTAAAGTGTATAACTAAGCTGAAGGAAGATAAATGTTTTTTTTCCAGATACAGAATCAATGCAGGTGCCATGTCAAGACAGTTACCAACAATAATAATGTTAGAAGGTGGTGAAGAGACGATGAGGAAACCCTACATATCACCAAAAGGCACAGTGGTCAGATATGTGTTTAACAAGGTTTGTTGTTGCCCTCTGTGTATTGATTAAAATGTATGCACGTCTCTTAAACTTACGATTACAGGACATTTCCATGTTGGTTATGGAATTTTCAGAATCTGTCAAATTGATCTTTTCAATACATTTGTCCATAGTGGTATGTGTGTCCGTAGAGGCTGCAAAACTTTTCACTATAACTTTCCAATGTGTATTCATAGTGTTAAAGATTTTCAGTATATTTTTGCCAGTAGATGTATGTGAATGTCCGTAGCAATTACAAAGCTTTTCAATGTATTTTTCTGGTGTGTGTGTTTACAGTGGTTACCTTGTTTGCTTATACATTTTTTTCACTCTCTGTGTTGTCAAGCGTTTAAGTGTTCTACTTATATATTTCCTGTATATGCCATCAATGTTTCTTAAGCCTTTGTATTTTAAACAAGAATTACTCTATCTTATTGGTTGTCTGTCTTATTATACAGATGACGTACAAGAATAATATCGTGAATCTCCTATTTTTTTAACTGATTTCGGTTTTTCTTCTTGTGTTGCAGCAAAACATCATTAAAGACTTTGAATTGAACATTGCCTATGATAAATGTAAAAAGAATCCCTTGAAACCTAGAAAGTCAGATAAGGAGAAAACAGAATGATCAACATGTGGATTTCTGGATTAAGACTTACCATGGGTGTTCAAGAGGTGTGGTTATGTGGATGTAGTAAAATGATGCAAGGCCAAGACTGATGACATGCATTGCATTTACATTAGTTACAAATACAGTGGAAAACGCTCAATGATCTGAAACATCTGGACAACTTCTTACAACAGTGTCTACAGTGTTTTGGAGTTCTCATTATTGAAAAGGAATGAAAAGTGATATTAAAATCCTGTTCTTGTTGCATTTTTTTTTTATTGAGAATGGTAACAACATCAGTCAAAATCCATTAAAAACTTCACAATGATTGTTTTCTGTGTAAATTGTATGTTAAAGAGTTAAAGCTTTCCTTAACTTGTTAAAATATTTCAGCACGGATCTGTTGCCTTTCTAGTTATAATTACTTTGAAATAACTTTGTGTAAATACTTTTATTATTGTAAATAAAATTTGTATAAATGGAAAAACCGAAGAAAATTGAAAAGCATGAAAACCAATCAGAGTTTTGTTGTTTGAAGCATTCTAACAAAATATTTAATTTTCAAAGAAGATGAAGTCGTAATTGATAGTGTTATGGTCACTTTTGAAGTGCATTTTCCTTCCTTGATCTTTCCTGTGTTGCTCTGTGAAATTTCTGAGTTATTTGATGCCTTGTATATTTTTCCTTTTATTTGTATGTAACCAATTCATTGAATAAGCCATGATTTGTATTTTTCTAAAAAAGATATTTAAAGCGTGAAAGAATTACTGATGAATAAAAGGGAGTATATGTGAGAAATTTTGTAAGTAAAGAAATGCATGTTTGCTGGAAGAGTTAAAACTTTATAATAATATTGCAATGTACAGCGGATCCACGATAATCCGGATACTTCCGTTCCCGGCCAAAGTCTTCTTGAGTATCATTTTACCTGATTGTCGCCTAGTTTATTGAACCAGCCAAACTAGCCGAATTTATCTCCCTTGAATAAACCGTACTGATACGGTTGGTTGTTTTCATAATGTGTATACAGTTTACTGTAAAAACAAGTATTTATAAATGTCTTTCATGGTCTGATTATGTTTATTTTCGTAAATAATTGGAAAAAAACTACCATAGTGAAAGTTGTTATTCATGTTGTCCAATATTGCTGGGGATTCGTTGAATGTATATGTTCCATATCAATAGTGATGTTTATGTTTTACTCAAAACTACGTAAGACCCATACTTTCTGAATATGATATGCACCGCGGACGGTGTATTTACGTGTGTTTTACACAAGCCAGATTCTTTTTCCCGATGAATAAGATCATTTATATGTTGTGTTATACATCACTATTTGGAATTATTCTATTTTTAGAACCTAGTGACTCGGTTAAGTTAAAAAAAAAGACTGTAATTAAAAGACTTAAGATATATATTTTTCTGTCTTTTCTCTGTCTTATGTGTCACTGATTCCACAGAAATCTCTATTGTTTTTTCTAAGTATATATGTATATATATGATCAATATGTAGAAGCATTGAAGGATGATGGCCCCATTTTATTTATTTATCATAAATACATAAATATATATTTATTTATCATGAACGATTTACCTTTAACGTTGAAATAACGTTAAAAAATGGTAACTTTCGGTGTTCGAAATATCAATATGAAACAATAGTCACATTTCACTCCGTAAAAATCAAGAACTTGTCAGGTATACATACAGTAACTCAGTATCAATTATCCGACGTTTGAAAACAAGAACAAACCAAGACATTCTCTTCCATGTTTTCTTAACAATTCATTCATTTTGGCCTGTATCGGGGTCTACGATATATGCTCCACAGGTGAATGAAATCAACGTCACGGGAATTCGTTCCCGAACATTTCTCTCCGGATTGCAATATTTCCGGACTATCGGCGTCCGGATTATCGCGGGTCTGCTGTAAATGTATAGGTGTTTTGAATTGTTTGTGTGGATGTTGATGACTGTACTGTAGAAATAATTCTCATACTAGCGTTTCCTTAAGTGTGTAAGAAAAATAAACATGATCACTGGAACGTTAAGTGTAGATGAATATTTAGAATTAGTACGCCTATTGTCAAGAAACACGACAATAAGAATGAGAATATTTTCTGTACAAAGGTAAACAGAATTTTGAAGGACATCGTTTAATATTGGAAAGTCGCCATTGAACAATTGAAATAAATTTATATATCTCAAGGGTTTTTTTTTATAAAGTTATGACAAAAATTAATATTCATGAGATATATTCAAATATAGTTGTACACATAATATAAAATTGCTTTCCCTGTGTGAAATGACCGTCCATTTTTTTGTCATGATGATCTGTATAAATGTCGGAAAGTCAATTGACCTAAGGTATAAAACACACTTTAGTTAACTTATTGGACACGAATTTGTTTTTACTAAAGCATGCGGCAACAACTCCATGGAATTGATTTAAAACAACATTATTACCATATGTCAAGTCGCAGGCCATTACATTGTGTGCGCGTAGATCGATACTGATGTCGGATTTGTGTATCTACTCTTAAATACGTACCAGGATTTAAAATTGCTATATACATTTAACAGTTTAAATATTTTGATTATTTGCTATGAATATAAGAATGCAGAAACATGAACAGTAAGCTTTCATGTAATACATTGTCACACAAAATTATATGGAATGCGTTGATGTAGGTTTGTAAGTCGTTGTTAACCTCGAAAAACTAGAAATCAAACCTAAATATCACGAGATCCCCTGGAATTGTTAAATAAGGTTACCATACCAACATCTTTTGTTATTCAAGAAATACGTGATGGCTGCTTCTATTTTCTATTGGAATACCAAATGTGTAAGACTTTAGACCATTTTAATTCCCGCCATTTGTTGGGAAGGGTTGTGCGTGTGAATATGAAAAGAAATAAAAATGTGAAACATTTTTTTGTTTTTGTTTTGTTTTTGTGCCATTTTATAAGGAGGCTTGAAGCTAGGGAAACATATACTTACCAATAATTTGCTGATTACGGAAAAGAAAGAGAAATTCTGGCTCGGAACAGTTACATTAATCTCATGATATGAATATTACAGACCGCCATCATACATATACACAACAATGACGATACAGTTACATGTGTTAGTGGAGATATCTACCTATCACACATCAACTGGCAAAACAACACAAACATTACTGGAAAACCAAACACTACACCAACAATTGATGATTATCCCAACAGTCAACTCCTTCACACGAATGAACGATTAACCGACTAGAGGATCAAACAACCTTGACCTTAGCCTCACTCATTGACCTTATCCTCACTCCTTAACCTTAACCTCATTCCTTGACCGTATCCTCAATCCTTGACCTTAGCCTCACTCCTTGACCTTACCCTCACTCCTTGACATTAGTCTCACTCCTTGACCTTAGCCTCACCCCATAACCTTAGTCTCTCTCCTTGACCTTAGCCTCTGTCCTTGACCTTAGCATCACTCCTTGACCTTAGTCTCACTCCTTGACCTTACCCTCACTTTGACCTTACCTTTATCAGCAGACTATCACTTACTCACAAAACAGACACATTAGCCTCCATTGATAAGTCAACCCATTACATACACAAAAGTATTTGCGAGATTTAAAAGAACCCGAAAACAACCACGAAAGATATACAACAAAGCTAATTGATACAGCATTAAAAAAGACAAATCTGTAACAAACTACAAAATGTCTGTAAGACATGAATGCCCCCCCCCCCCCTATGTGAAATACTAGTGAAAGGTCCGAAAGAGATGATTTTGTTAATTTGTATGCAACTATGTACAACTTAAGTTTCATACTTAAATTGACAAGTTGATTTAACGTACATGAATTTGGAATTTTGTTCTCTGGAAAAAATGAGGGAGTACATTAGTTCCGTATGCCTTAAAACCCACAAGTACCAAATTATGTAGAAATAAGATGATGTTCCTCTTTTTTGAGTTATCTCCCCCTGGTGGCCATCTTTTTTTTAGAATGCCGAGAAATTCAACACTGCATGAGGTCTTTCCATACTTGATATTTGTATGAAGTTTCATGAAAATTGCCTTCCGAATGAAGTTGTTAGGTGGTATATACTGATTTGGGACGCGACGGGACGGGACGGGACGGACGGACATGGGCAACGCTATATGCCCCCGGCCATGAATGGCGGGGGCATAAAAATATTCTCTCCGTCGAGTCGTCAGCCAATGCTAAAGATTACATGCAACACCAAAACATATCCAAATGTATTACACAAATGCAAACCCGACGGTAAAAATCCCTCAGATACAAACACGAAACGCTTACCCTTAACTTAATAGAAACGATGATAACAGTCATATCTCTAGAGGACCCAGACTCGTCACATCTCATTAAAAAATGCAAAATAAAAGAACTATTTTCATATTATATCTAACAGCAAACATCACTGCACCACGAAAAGACGGGCATTTCATAGCAGACGCCGCTGGTAAGGCAAACATACTTTGAATCTGCTTTCACGACAGAACAGAACCCCTCTGTATCAGACAAAGGACCATCGCCACACCCTATTATGCCTGAATCTAACATAACACAACAAGGAATTGGAATACTTCTCACCAATATCAACCGACACAATGCAACAAGAGCAGACCAAACACATGGCCAAATACTGCAAGAACTAAAAGACGACATAGTATCAATTCTCAACATTAGCTTCACTTTTTCACTTACAGGCACAATCCCACTAGACTGACAAAACGTCAACCCAATATACAAAACAGTAACAAGTATGCTACAACCAACCACATGCTAAAGTCGCCAGCATGCATCTCGGGCAAACTCATGGAACACGTCATCACCAGCGTCACAGTGACACGCATTGAGAACAATAGTATACTTTACAACCTACAACAAGGTTATCGATCGTCCTGATCTGTAAAAAGCCAACTAACATCATTCATACTGGTCCTAACATCCGATAAACAAATATTATCCTAATTAATTTTTCCAAAGCTTGTGACAAAGTCTTACACAAACACCCAGTGACAAACTCGCATTTTATGGCATTACAGGGCATACTACACATGGGGAACTGACTTCCTCTCCCACCGCACCCACATATAGAAGTACACGAGGGCAAACAGTGTGAAAGGATACCTGTATTCTGATGTACTCCAAGGATCCTGCTTAGAACCAGTACTTTTCCCAATCCTTTCCGACTACATCAAAAACAGACGACAGCATGAAAAACAAAACAATACACAATACTGTAGACACCATGAAAATATACAAAAAGACCACTCTCCGAAACAGAACAATGGGAGATGGATTTGATCATGAATTTTCATCCTGGTAAATGCAACATCATTAGCATCACAACCAAACGTAAAATATGTATGTAAACTTCACGACCACACACTGCATCATGTTGGTTTAATAATACATATTAATATGAAAAGTGACAAACTCATTAACTACATCACGTGGAATGCCAATAACCCACGATATTACTCGACAGGCAAACTGAAAACCAATTCAACACGCATAAACGAACATGCTTGCAAAACGCTTGTCAGATCTAAAATGGTATACTGTCCTTCCATAGGGGTCCCTTTACACCACCAACACAACAGATCGTGAACGTGCAACACAGAGCAGCACGACAGTTCCTGAAAACAAATACCATAACATCGGCTCAGTCATCGACGTGTTACACACACTACAATGACCAACAGTACAAACCAGACGTGCCACAATTTTCTGTAATATACAACCGTAGTACACCAACACAATACATGTAGTATTAGTAATCACACACACTCGTTTTTACAATGTAGCAGCATTACAAAACACAACACTTGATGGATTCAAGGCAACACCCCCTATGCATCCCATAAAGCCCTTGCTATTAGCGGTATAGGCCTACCTGCCTTTTTTTGTTTTATTTTTTTTTCTTTTAAATCTGATACCTTTCCTTTACGAAATCAAAAAAAAATATAGCAGAATCTATTTATTTATTTCTTAAGAAGTAAATCCAATGTAACTATATAATCTATTTTTTAATATCGTCATTGTAATATATTGACAGGATATAAATTCCCGAAGGCGCATCTGGTGGTAGCTTTAGACATCGAAAACACCTACATACGTGTACTCTGGATCTAAACAGTGGGTTGTGCCCAGTTCACGGTCACTTATTCAAAATTAAATGAGATGTAAAGTTCTGTATTGTCTATTCACATTCACTTCCTTTATACCAACATCAGTCGTTTTTTTAATTTAATTTTTGGACTTGAATAAAGAGAAGCCCATCAGCTCGCGGGTAAGAACATGTGTCATATATAGATAGCATGTACGGTTCTGTAGAGTGGTTTCCCTTGACAGGAAGTTGCTGGTAAAGAAATAAACAATGAGGTGATGAGCGAGTGACAGATAGCTAGTTTGGGACGAAACCCGCCGGACTGTATGATGCTGAAGTGACCATACCGTGGGGTCAGACCCGAAAATCATGCAGACGACTTCTCAAGACGTGAACGGACAGGTAACGTGTCGGTTATCAAGTTTAGATCTATATTGCGTTATATAAACATGTCTGTGTCTATGACGCTCGTATTGTAGGAAGGAAACAAATAATGGGCGTGGAATGTTTTAATATTGACATAGTTTGATACCGTTCTGTATCGTTTAAAGTATGTTTAGAAGCTGATCTATGTTACAGCGCGAAATTTACTATTTATAGCGTGCTAAAAGGTTAAGCAATGACATATACACAAAGCTTTGTCAACTTAATGTGATGTAGATGTAATAGTTATGTACAATAAGAGTGATACATATAAGTTGGAAAAACTTATTTCGCAATTGTTGTAAAATAGATAGAGCTTATTATTATTATAGCGATGTTCAATATATAATTACACACGTTTATTTTGTCCGTTTGGACAAGATACAAAAATGTCTTCCAATTGAAAGATACATGTGTGTATTTTTGACACGTAAAAGAGAATGAGGACATTTCAAAAACCAACTTATTGCGTATATAGTATTACGATGTACTACATATATTACCAATGGTGTATACATTCACAGGTCTGTAACATACTTAATTAATTAAATGTTACAAGTGTTTTTATTTACAAAGGGTTAACCAGGAAGTACATAGTGTATACATTTCACGTTAAGTGCACTTTGAAATCTTCGTAGACATAAGACAGTGATCGAAAAACATGTTCGACAGCAAACAGATTAAAATCACAGTAGAAATCCTTGAATGACGAGGTTAACAGGTTCTTTAAAATTGTACGATTTTATTGGATGTCCCACAGATGTTTCTGAAGTTGTGTAACAATGAAATATACAGAAGTGGCACGTGTACATAATGTTAAAAATAGTGAAAACTGATATAGTTATACTACGATAAATACAACGATAATATGCGAATTGAAATAATGGTCAAGTTTTAATAACACTGGTTTGTATACACTTACTGCAGGTCGTTTTGAAAAGATGGGTAAGGAAAATGAATGTTAATGCCAGCTTTATTAACAAATACCATATCTGTTTAATAGGTGAGTAACTTGTCACAGGAAACACGAACAAAACTTGAAGAAAGACACATCGCAATGTAGCGTTTTATGCCCAAATAGTTAAGAAATATACAGGGTTATCGTGGGTTTGTAGCGTCTGAGAAACGTTAGGAAAATTAACATTTTCACCACCAGACAAACCCTACTTCTGACCAGCGATAATTTCAACTTTCTTTCTCTCTGTACATATAAAAATGTTTGAAGGCGAAAGATTACATTTATAACAAATATGTACATGTATATCACATATACGTATTTATATAATTATTGATTTCGAAAACTTCACGTGCGATGCTCCATTTCCGATGTGTAAAACAGAACATTTTTTTTCTTTCTCTGAAGCTCACAACTCCGACGCGGTGTAATAAATAATTGTGTTATGTTTCATTATATAATTAGTTCATATTGTAGGACTTGGTTCAATTTTCAAATTGTTTTATTGGATAAATTTCAACTATAAATAATAATTTATCACGTGTTTCCTGTCCTACCAATTACAGTGCTCAAATTATAACAAAAGCCAAAATCAGGCATGTTTCCTATTTTGGACGTGGATGTTAAATTTTGAAATTTAAGTAAATAGAAGTTGTCATAAATAAACATTTGAATCACTTCTAATGATAAACAACATATAAACTGACCTGTTGTATGTTGCTTTTAAAGGGGAATGGTCCTGTGCGGCAATACATGTATCCTGTTACGTTTCAACAGTGAAAATTAGAAAAAAGTTTGATATTCAGATAAATTAATTTCAAATGTATGAATATATTTTCTTTTAAATGCAGAAAAATGTCAAATACTTTATGTTGAGATGGGTACTGTCTCCATAGAAATCAAGGCGAATCTTGCTCCGTGTAAAATAAAACACAGCTTCCTCTTACATCTGAAATGATAAATTTAATTATGGCAAAAAAATTCGATATATTTGTTTATCAAGAAAGCACGAAATGCAAATATGTTTTTTTCTCAAAGTATTCAGCTAAAATAGAATCCTTCAAATCCTGTTTTTTTCACTTGTATTTGATCCAAAATGTAAAACATTTCAAAACAAACCAAAGACCATTCCACCATTCGGTATTCGGATTTCTTCTCTTACAAAACACAAATATTGATATTGAACAATTTCAATTATTTGGAACAAGAGAAATTCCACCCTGGCTCTTGAATTCACCTGAAGTTGACTTTTCACTTCTTGAAATGGTCAAATCAGACACTGAGAGTTTCGACTTCAGTTCATCCTTCTCGAAATTGTAGTTAAAATGTATTTATTTACTTTAAATTAATTTACTGATGGTTCAAGCGATAATGATGAGGTTGTCGTGGCCATGGTTACACAAGATGAAGCCTATGGATGCCGGCTTCCCAACAAAGCCTCAATATTCTCGGCGGAAGCGCGAGCTATCTGCTTCGCTCTGGAACATATTTAAACAAAGTAATGAGAGCTGTTATCTATTTAGACTCCTTTGTGCTACAAGGTCTTAGCAATAGAAAGATGGAAAATATTTTCATTCGTAATACATTAATACTATATCATGAACGTGCCTTTAACTTTCGTATTGCTTTTTGCTGGGTTCCTGGGCACATGGGAATACCAGGCAATGAAAAAGCAGATCATGCCGCAAAGGCAGCTTTATCGCTTCCATCTATTGTTTTTAAACTTCATTTTACTGATTTTAAACCATCTATCAAACAATTTTTAAGAGCTCAGTGGCAGGAGGAATGGAATCAATATAACATAATGCTATAGAGACAACCACCGAGACGAAGTTTTCCTTGCCGCAAGTCCTCGGATGGTTCATGCTTATACCATACACATTCATATATGTTGAAAGGCGAACGCAATCCTTGGTACAAAGGATGTGATGAGCCATTCACCGTTAAACATTTTTATTGGACTTGAATGACCTTCTGTCTGCACGAGAAATTTTTTATCGTAAGGTTACAAGTCTAAAGACCCTTTTTGAAACTGTTGATATTTATAAAATGCTAGGTCAGTATCTGAACGATGTTGGTCTATAATATAGAATATGACTTACCATTTTAATCTTTTGTGATAATATGACCTTTTAAGATTTTTAGCATTTGTCTTTTACCTTTTAGTTTGTGTGATGTTATTTCATAAGAATTGTTGTGTGTTTTATCGGTTGATTACCCTAATGACCTTTTATGTATTGACGGGCCGTTAAGATTGTGATAATAATAATAATAATAAGTCCCAACTTTTGTGGCGTTATACAAAGTAGTTTTTAAAAGTTGTTCTTGTGTTGATATTTCTCGGTTACTGTTAACAGTTTTTCTCTTTAAGTTGTTCCATACATTTTCTGATCCGAAAATATTTTAGGTCACCTGAGACAAAGCTTTCGAATGACCTATTGCGATCCCCTTTTGTCAGGCCTCGTGCGTTGTGAACTTTTAAACATTTTCGACTTCTTCTGGATAACTATTTCAAACATATTTCAATGAAATTTTACAAAATCCATGGCTAAAGGCTCACCAAAATTGTAAATTATATGGTCCCCAAATTCCAGGGGCCTGGGGGGGCGAGGCCAAAAAGGATGAAATTGATTGAAACTTTAAAAATCTTCTTTTCAAATCCCAGGTATAGTTGAATCAAGTACTCTTCATGGATGAAAAATTCTTCAGATGTTTTACCAAAATTGTTAATTTCATGGTCCCAGGGTCTCACATTTCCCCCTGGGGAGGGGATACAATTTACTGAGTTTGTATAGGAAAATAATTTTTTTAACATTATTTGTTTATTTTGTATTGGAAATAGTTCAAACCTTGATAAAAATTTTTAGTTCAAGATGACAGTTTAATGAGATGCACATATTGACCTTGACTGACCCCCATCTTCCCCACAGGGGCTGATGGGCGGGGCCAAATATGTGTCAAATTGACTGAAATTTCAAAGATGTTCTAATAATCCTGGATAGAAGATTTTATATTGGGCACTGTAGTGATGAAAATTTCCGCGAAGTAGTTAATCCCTGACCAGACAGATTTTTATATACATGTATCTGTCTACATTTATGTTTCTGTAGGTATTTAAGCTATACAAAGGGGACTAATAAAGTCTTCCTTGATAAGTAAGAAAATTTCAAAATATCATTAACGAAATAGAATGCTTATAAGTATGTTGTTAATTCTGAAATCACGATAAGATTTTTTTCTTTTTGATAGCAATTTCCATCTGTCATCAACCTTAATGTTGGAGGACGAATTTTTGCTACGCGTCTATCCACACTCTGTAAATACCCGGAGTCCATGTTGGCTGTCATGTTCAGCGGGCGTCACACAGTGGACAAGGATTTGGACGGAAATTATTTCATCGACAGAGATGGGACCTACTTCCTGTTTGTTTTGAATTTTCTGAGGGACGATAATGATCTTCCCCCAGTAAACTACGCTGAGGATGTTCTGAAAGAAGCTATGTTTTACGGGATACAAGCTCTGGTTGACCGATTAAAAAACTCTCCTCCTCTCTTTGCTGAATACGTGGTGCGAGAGAATGTCCGTAAGAAACTGACCGGATATCAGGAGATTAAGGAGGAGATCATATCCCTGGCTAAGCTCCAGGTGATGGAAAGTGGTGCTATCACATCAGTTGTAAGACTGATAATTTCTAAAAACCAGCCCGTGCCTCGTGACTTACAGTTCTCTAAACAGGTTTACAAGCAGTACTACAGAAAGTTTCGACTTTACCAAAGTTTTGAGGCTTGCTATGGTAAATATTTCATAAATTTGCCTGCTGAAAGGGTAAAAGGTCATCCTGACGCGGTCATGGACCTAGTTGCGGCTTGTTTGAGTCGTGACCTTCTTGAGGAGGGGTATAAGGGCATATTTAAATCCGAAGGTGTGCATGATGAGGATCGTAAGCTTAAGACTGTCACGTGGTGTGACGAAGAGTTCCACGTGTCCTCATCATGTCACATGTTCAGGTTTGACTGGCTAGACACACCAGGCAGACATTAAATGTGTTGTATTAATGGGAACCATTACAGCGCATTGTCTATAATGATCACGCCACTTTGATGCCAGATACTGATATATACCCATCGTCATTTTCTTAGAAGATAAAGCGACATTTTTTTCTAGTTATAGTAGATACAAATATACATGTACATATTATATAGGCCTGATCACCTTCATTCCAAATATATAAGTGGGCGCCATTTTTTCTCGGTAAATAAGTAAAACCTTGTTTATTCTATGTTAACAATATTACTATGTAAATGGACAAGCAATCCTCGAAACTAAATGATCAACCATTCCAGTAATTTATATAGCAGCCAACGAAATAGCCTAGCCATATTAATTTAATAAATGGATTACAATTATTTAATGTAAATCTTCCCACAAGATAATCCACAAAATCATCTTTCCACGCACAAGTTTTCCCCCGTACGGAATACAGACCGACAAAGTTTATCTCTTAGATGTTAACTATTTTTTAAGTCAGTTTACTTATGAACCTTTTTTAACTAGGTTAAATCTGCATTTCTACTGATAGTTAAACTGTTCAACTCCAAGTTTCGAACAACATATTTCCTGTGTAATTGTGTACATTGTGGTTTATTTATTTATTTTTTTCGGGAGAGTTTGATTTCATTTCTTTAACTCTAAACAAAAACGACCGCCCGATAAACTGTGAATATGTGTAATATTAGGGTCGTCTCCAAACTTGTTTTGACTTCAATATTTTATTTTGTATAATACACTATTTTTGTAACTTTGTAGTTTACACTAGGTACCCATGTGTAATTTTGACAGTAGTGTAACTCTGGTGAAATGTAAACATACGACATATAGGTCAGATAAATGGTTTTATTTTTTATTTCCTTTTTTTTTTAATTTTAAGCCTTAATATATGTAGGCCGCATGACTGTTTGTTGTTTAAATTTTGTAACTTAAAGGTGAATTTAATATTAATGTATGTCATCATCAGATTTACTATTGTATTTCTTGGGTTTTAATGTGTGCCACGTGGTTATTTGTTGTATTTTTAGTGTTTACATTACCAGATAAACTATTGTTTTTATTGGATTTGCCCCAGCTGAATCGGTCACGTGACTATATGTGGCTATGTTGTATTATCCTATGAAATGTTGACCACCAGATTGTTTTCATATTTGTTTCCAAACCTGCCTGTATGTTATAACTGATTTACATCGAGTCACAATATAGTTGTCACTTGTTTTGTTCTTATAAATGTGGTCGGTTCTTTTAATACTCATTCCTTCATTACCACAGGAGTAACTAATGTTAAGCTCACTTGTAAACAGGTTACATGTATGGGATCTTACATAATCTTACATTAATGAAAAAAGATCTTCCGAACTTTTTGTTTAGCGTCCCTGTAACGAGCTGACAAATGTGGTTGGTTTCATATACTTTTTTATCACATAATTCATTAATTTGTGTAATATTACTTATATCATTCCCTCTATGTCAATCTTGGCGTCATGACCCTCTATATATTTATAGGCACATTTTTGATGCCATAATGTAATCTGCAAGCGTATGACGTCACTATCATTTAATTGTCTATTGCTGACGTCACAATAGAATATATTATATGTCAATTATGTGATTAATAGAGATGTAACCTTTATGACGTAACTTGTTAATGTGATGTATTGACTTCTACGGTGTCGTGAATATGGAAGCCATTGAAATAGGACTTAGATATCATATTATCTTTAGTACATCGGTGATACTCCAGGGGTTATGCTCACTATTTGCACCGCGGAAACATTTCATTGCGAAATTGAAGGTTTCGTGTGCGACTCATAGTCATTTAAGATAAAATTGATTTGATCCTCTGATATACACTAAACGAATCTCGAGGTCGCATAATGGTTCTTTCTTTGAAGTTGTGTGTCGCTCCTTTGTAATCTTCAAATAAACGTATCAGTCTGTGATTGGTTTGTTTTCCTCCTGAAACCCTCTCTAGACCTATCAAATTACTACGCTTGTGCCTGCAGTTTTGTCAGGAAATTTTCTAGGGGTGCAGAGAGCGAAAGTGATCGAAGATACCATTAAAACTTCTCCACAGAGAACGTTTCTGGGCTATGTTTTAAGAAGACGTTTTATCTCATATGTCTTGCTTGAGGAGATACCATTTTGCAGTTTGTCTATTACTTATGGTAGATAATAGTTGATCTTTATGACAGCACCATGATGAAGATTGCAACATATAGAATACAGTATATACACTGAAACAAGGATACGTACGGAGCCCGTTAACTGACATGCTCCATACTTATTTTATTTCGAAATATTAATTCGTTTATTAGAAATATTATTTCGTTTTTTCGAAATAATAATTCATTTAAACGAAATATTATTTCGAAAAAACGAAATAAAATAAGTATGGAGCATGTCAGTTAACGGGCTCCGTAGATACGCTATTTTTTGCTCGATACATTTGTTTTGTTGTTTAAACGTATAAGTAACAACAATCACCTGTTTATTAATGTTGGGATGATCGATGATTTTGAATTTGTATCTGGAACTTTTTTATTTTGGTAAAGTATGATATATAAATGGCCAATATTGATATTAAATACATATTTTGGGGATCAGTTTAAAACCCAATCTGATATCAACACCGTTGAGTTTTATCAACGAAGATGTAAATAAACATTTTTTATCGTGCGCAATTTCCACCCTACCATAATCGACATTGTCTACGTATCTTAATTACCTGTAATATGAGGGCGAGTGTTTGCCGTGTGGAAGTATTGTGTACCAGTCTGCAAAGAAAACTATTGACATCAAAATCTAAGACTGCTAGGTAGCGTTAGTGTTATCACTTCTGATTTTTATAATTTTATAGACTATTCGCATAAAATTATTTTGTATACAAAATTTCATAACGTGTAAACTTTCATCGATCAGCCATATCACTTCCCGGCTCCCATATCTAAACACTAGAATGTAGAGACTTGCGTACATCGTCTAGATGTATGTGTTTTTGAGCACAATCCATTTTGTATAGTGTCTGTGTACTTTTAATAATCTGAAGTGTTTCTGTGGTGATAAAACATAAACATGCTGAAGTGATCACTCTTTGGGCTTTACATAGACTGGCTCATAATGTATTATATGTTTAGATAGTTTTTTATACAACATCCAGCTGGACTCCTCTTAATGAAAGTCTTCAATTGTCTCAGTAAATTAGCATTAAACAGGTGATTTATTCGTGGTTCAGGTATATTAACTCATGGTATATAACCTTAAAACCAGGCTTCTCTTATAGTATCCAATTAATTCATGGTTAATGTAATTAAAATGAGGCTATTTGTATAAAAAATACCCAGTTGACTCGTGGTTCAAATCCTTAAAACAAGGCTCTTCTGATAGTTAAGTACTCGATTTACTCCTGGTATATATCCTTAAAACTAGGCTTCTCATATAGAAGTACCCAGTTGACTCGTGGTTTAGAGTCTTAAAACAAGGATATTATAGAAATATTTACTTAACTCTTGTTTTTTATCCTTAAGACTAGACTCCTCTTATAGCAAGTACCCGTGAAACGAATTCGCGATCTTGTTTTGATTGCTTTATGAAATTTCATATGAACCATCCCTTAACTACATATTATTCTGGTAATCACCAAAATCAAAGGCTCATATCAATTACTGGAATAATTTGCCATTTTCCATGAGCCGAAAATGTTAGCAAGAAGCGAGTTGAGCATGCTTTAGTTTCCGTTATTGTAGAGTCGGAGATTACTTGTGGCAACAAAGACACATTGTATAATCTGTTCAAAATATACATATGTAATTCCATTTCAAAAGATGGACTTATTTTATTACATAAGATTAAGAAATGAGATTTATGCATTGTTTTTATTTCGCTGCTTAAGATTCTTTGTAGCAGTGGACAGTGTATCACATGTTGTCAGTGCTTTCTTATAGGGTTCTATCATTTATGTATTTGTGTGCAATAGAGGAAACTTGTTGTGTTCATTGTAAGAATCGTGTTGTGCCATTTTTTAAATATTATTAAAAGATAATCCAGTGTGTTTGACGACTTATATTTGCTTATTAGATTTTTGTGTTATTTTTTTAGGTGTTTATCTCTTACCCTAGATACGCTACCCAAACAGGTATACCTAAGCTTTTACGAAAATGAAATTTTTTTTGTCATAACCTAGATGGAGACTGGAGTTTGCTTTGTCAAAGCAATGCAATCACATTAACAATTCATTGACGTCACGTGAATAACTTAAGATGTCATGTGAATAATGCATTGAAAAAAAATCACATGTATAGAAAATGAAAATTATTCATTAACCTCTTTCAGGGTTGATTCAACGATCAGGGGTAACTTCCCTGTAAGCTGTATGATATACATGATAAGCATCACATTCAAATATCCCTACGACCATGATCTGTCCGTATCTGTATCTTTCTAAAATTTCCTATGTGGGTTCCCCTTTGTCCCTAGTTGTGCCCAATAAATTTTGGGACTGATCAGAAGAACAAAATGGCCGACAAGTGACCATCTTGGATTTTGACTTTGCAAGTCTGCTTATCGCTACTTTTTGAGAAGGACTGGGTGTATCTTTCTCAAATTTTCTATGTAGATTCCCCTTTGTCTCTAGTTGTACCTAATAAATTTTGGGACTGATCAGAAGATTAAAATGGCCGACAAGTGACCATCTTGGATTTTGACTTTGCAAGTCTGCTTATCGCTACTTTTTGAGAAGGACTGGATGTATCTTTCTCAAATTTCCTATGTAGATTCCCTTTTGTCTCTAGTTGTGCCTAATAAATTTTGGGACTGATCAGAAGAACAAAATGGCCGACAAGTGACCATCTTGGATTTTGACTTCTTAAGAGCATAGCTATTTCACAAATTTCATGTGTATGTTGTGCCTGTTTGATTTTGGTACTGATCAGAAAACAAAATGGCCGACAAGTGACCATCTTGGATTTTGACTTCTTAAGAGCATAGCTATTTCACAAATTTCATGTGTATGTTGTGCCTGTTTGATTTTGGTACTGATCAGAAAACAAAATGGCCGACAAGTGACCATCTTGGATTTTGATTTCTTAAGAGCATAGCTATTTCACAAATTTCATGTGTATGTTGTGCCTGTTTGATTTTGGTACTGATCAGAAAACAAAATGGCCGACAAGTGACCATCTTGGATTTTGACTTCTTAAGAGCATAGCTATTTCACAAATTTCATGTGTATGTTGTGCCTGTTTGATTTTGGTACTGATCAGAAAAAGACAATGGCCAACTGGCGGCCGTCTTGGATTTTGATTTTAAAAGTTTGTGAAAGACCAAACAATGGTGGGCGCAAAGATCCCTCTGGGATCTCTTGTAATTTCTCTCACGTGAATATTCCATTTTTAGATAGTAACAATCTTACTTCTCCCATATTCAAGGTATCGTTCCTGTTTATTTCCGCGAAAGATGTCGACATCTGAAAGATAAACCTACAACACAGCGTTTTAAGAGATGTAGATTGATGAAGACACAGGGAAGACTTAAGCAATTATGATTAATGTTGTCGATAAAACAGAATGTGGTTACAACCGAAAAATAATGGTCTTAATAATATTTGAATTTTACAATGTGAGAATAATCATGGACCGTTCAAAGTTACCTATAAATATGCATTGGTCTATGTATTTCATATTTTCATAAAATAGTATGTCTGTCAGTTTAACACTGCAAAACAAACACTAGTTAAATACACTAGCGGATCAAACAAAAGAACAAAAGAAAATTTTTGAAGAAATATTTCACATAATAAAGTAAAAAGAAAGAAGAGAAATTCTTAGTTGCGGATCACACTTCAGAAATGTATACCATACTTAAATATAAACTGAAACACGAAAGTATAACTACAGATACATGTATTTTAGGAGATGATTGCTAATTGGTTTGTCAACAAAGAAAAAAAACCAAACAAACAAAAACAGACTTGAGATTATTCAACCCGTCTGTTATAGTGAATTTTGTTTTAACTATATGGTTCAATTGCATGTACGTCGATTAAAGCACAATGATATACGTATTTATTAATAACATCAATATCATGATGATAAATTCAAGCTCTTAACTAAACAAACAGTAATATAACAATTAACAGAGGGTAGAGAGAGAGACGTAGAATGCAAAACGTGAAAACTGACTACACTTGCTCTTCGAAAAAACAAAAGACACACAAGTGAAAAGGACCTTTTATTGCTAATTTAGGGTTAGATACAGTATAGCCACACAATGAATCAAACTGCATCATACGCGTGTCAACAGTTCTTCTGATCCGGTCTTAATGGTCAATGAGAAACTAGGCTAGGAACCAAGTTGAACTTACCCGTGGAATCCGATATTGATTCATCCTGTACTTCCACTGTCAAAATTCATGATAGCCGCTCATTGGCTATTTTTATCAGTCCCAAAATCGACAATGCAATACATGGGATCAAGGAGACCTTTATATGTAAATATATGGAGAAGATCACTCCAGTACTTACCAAGAAATAACAGTAACAATCTTTTCAAGTCAATATCGAAGCTGGTCGACCGTCAGAAATTCCATTTATCTTATCAGTCCCAAAATGGACAGTGCACAACTAGGGACTAGAGAGAGCCAACGTATAAACGTTAAAAGATCCATCCGGAATTTTCCAAGAAATACCGATACCAAACGTCCATTGTTGAAATCGAATGCGGCCATCTTTCTGCCATTTTACTTTTCTCATCGTCCAAAGATTGAATGGGTACCACTAAGGAACCAAATGGGACAATTTTATGAATTCACCATTTCTTAAGAAATAGCAATAACAATATTTCACGATCAAAATTCATGATGGCCGCCTGTCAGCCATGTTGTTTTTCTGACTAGTCACCAAAACGAAAGGTAACAAAGAGGAAATAATTCATGAAATAGAAAGATCAATCCAGTACTCCTCAAGAAATAACGATAGTAATCTTTCAGACATAATCCAATAGGACAATAGCCTGTCAGTCATTTTATTTTTCTCATCGTCTTAAGATAGAATGGACAACACATGCGACCGTAATATCAAATTCGAGGAAATTTCATGCATCATTTCTTAAGAAGTAGCAATAGCAAATCAAAGTCAACCTTTGGTCATCTGTCCGGATTTTTATTTTCTGATAAGTCACTAAATCAAAAGGAAACAAGGGGCAAAGGGAACATGTGGAATTTTGGAAAAGATCTATTCAGTAATTCTCAAGAAACAATCATAATAAAAATTGTTTAAGGCCTGTCAACGGACAAACGACAGGAAACCACGGATGTAAGGTGGGCTAAAAAACTTGATAAAATTTAATCTGACAGTTTATTTTATAAAGTTCGGTCTTCGTTTCCTCCATTGAAACTTTAACACGCATCCTTCATATTTAAAGAGGAACCTGAATGCTGATTGGTTCGATTTTCAATGGATTTGCTGTTGTATAAGAACAAAAATGCCGAAAACCGCATCGAAATTCGACCATCCGTTTCCGAGATATATCCGTCTCAACGCGCCGATTCACACCTGCTTCGAGATGTTAATCAAGCAAGCGATCAAATTACCCTGATTTACATCCGGGTATTGGTGACGTCACTAGTGGAAGCGCGTCGAGGGAAAATCACAAAATTCAACATGGATGGTACTGACTACTCAGACAATGATTCGTACTCTGCTGATGGCGCTTTTCGTTTGTCTTGCGAATCATTGCCTTTCGAAGATTCACACAACGATGTAGTAGACGAGACATCACATTGTGGAGTTCTTCCGTACCAGTTTGAACCATATGAAGACGACGTAGAAGACAGCGAGAACGAAGATGAAACTGTTGATAGCCAAGCTGACCGCATTGGTAACACCGACTGGTAAGAATTTAAGCATATAGCTTATGGTAGTATCTTATTTTATACCTGAAGTTAGACCATAGAGTCAACAGTTTTAATATCAAATTATCTATGATATAATGTATAAACAAATATAGGTTGTAGACCATGTGCAATAGGCTAGTGAGCACCAATAGGCCGTCTCGAGCTCGATAAAATGATACTCTGAATATACATGACACTTGTCTAGACAGTAACTTAATCTTTCTTAAATGGATGATTATATCTCCAGGAGGGTTTTAAAGCATCATAATCATTACTGGAATGAAGAAAAAAGGTTAAAAATAGACTGAAGTTTCAAGTAAAATTCATTCTCGTATAGTCGTTGAACAATACATATGACAGTAAGTTGACTAACAGATAATCACTGTTAAATTCATAATATATGACCATGGTTATTTTTATTGTATCAAGGTGTACATGTGGGAATTGCTATCCTATGTCCATGATGACAGAATCTGTTTGCTGCAGAGAAATCAACCAAGTTAACGACATCAGAAGAGAGGCCCAAACGTTAATTGTATCATCGACCATCCAGGTTTTGAACCAGTCTGTCTCAATGTCCATGTATTGAGGACCGCATATTTTGCATATAGACAGCAGTATGGGGAAATAATGGAAGAAACTCCAGAGTAAGTATTTGTTTACAGGAATGTTTACAAAGTCTTCCTCGCGTCGGTCAGACAATGTTTCCATAAATTTTCAGTATTTAGTTGTAATCATCTGCTGTTTGATGCACATAATTATCCAGTTATTATTGATGACATGCATGTACAAGTGGAAATCTTTACTGTCCCAAACACTTTTACAAAATTCAAGTAAGATAAGTTTCATTACATAATTGTGATTTAGAATCTCTACAAGGAATTCAAAGATCTGATTTTTGCAGGAAAAACTAACTTGAAAGCTTTTACAAATTTCAATTGCCCAGCATAAAATTTCATTTTGTAAATGATATATATTCATGTAAAATTGAATTTCTTGCGCTGTGATGTTATTTAAAATTCCTACATTATTTTACAGCCGACGTAGGTATGTTGCCTACAGACAACTGGTCAGGTGGTGCTTTGATTATTTGGACAGGAAAGTGAGGGTTCCAATTCCATCCTGTGTTGTCAGCAAAGTACGGCGCAACTTCCCAGGTGAAGATGATGAATATACTGGCTTCCAGCATGCAGCATGAAAATTCTTGGGATAAATGACAAAAGTCTCTGTGATATTTTGTATATTTATTTAAAATAGTAATAAATATTTTTTGTATCGTCTGCTGTAATATTTTCATTTTACAACAAAATTCAACAGGCAAAAAATACAAATAACAAATGTAAGCGACATAGATATGTGGATTTCAGAAAAGAAATTAGCGTCATAAATCACATTGGTACATTTGTACCGGCAAGGACGGAAGCGATTTGACATGCTATGGAACAAACAAGATCCAAAAAAACATCTCCAAATGTTGCAATGATAAATTTCAATACAAAATCCAAGACGGCTTATGGACTATCACGTTATGAATTTTCTATAGGCATCATAAGGGTAGCTAGTACTAGATAGAGATTGAATGGCTGGATCATCACATTTGGAATGTGGAACATCATTTTTTTCCTGCTATTTTCCCAATATTGTAACAATACATTTCTCAAAGAAGGATTTTTTTTCACCAAACCTTTGGTCAACAGCAAATTTTGTGATGTTTAGGCATAAAAGTCAAATAATGAAAATGTTTTAAATCTCCCAATTCCATTTCAGACAGTAGCTCTGTTAAAGCACTCTGTCACTCAAAAAACATATACATGAAACTCTGGTTCAATTAAACCTCAAAGACCGACCTCGTCAGGAACGTATTGTTCGTAAAACAGAAAGTGTATACAACTCCAACTATTCTCATAGATTCGGTTGTAGACATACCTGTAACACTTATAATTTCGCTAGGTCACCACAACTTTTCCAACTGTATCCACTACAAAACAAGACGACCTTCGTAGCTGGTGTCCAGCAAAATTAGCGACGGATGTATCGCATTTTTGTCGCTACAGCACGTGATTCTTATATTGTCTATACAGCGTTGTGTCTGTGACTTATCAAAGGGATCCAATGGCGTGTTTTACACGATAGAAGGCCCAAACACTTCATTACTGGTATATGAAGAATTAAAATTGCAGATTCAAACGTGGAAAATGTAGACAAAATCCTTTGAAATGACTGTTCAACAATGCATTGAAATAACCTGACACTGATGAGGTTTGTTAGATCCTATGCAGTGGAGAATATCGGGCTTAGACACCACTTTAACTCTAGAGATCTTAATTTTAAGAATACTACATCACAGTAAAGATAAACCGAATCCCAAAGTAATCATAGCATCAGTACCAAGAGCTCCATATCCTAATAAAATTAAGAAATGTTTTCTCACTTTATATCATCCAGGCATACCTGACGCTAAAACACAAGAGAACACATCTTCGAACCTCTACGAAACAATTTTCCTTTGTCCAGACACCTAAAATGTGACAGATGTGAGAGGGAAGAATCGTTCCCAAACTCTCCTCCTTTACGCGCTTCGGGTTGCTGCAAAAGACAGCGCATGTGTTACACGAGATTACACAATAATATTTATGAACTATTTCTCACGTGCTTGTTTTAAGAAAACGTGTACTCCATCCTACCTGGCTGTTGTATAAAACTTAATAAAGAAAAACCAAAAGCCAACAAAATCGGAATGAAAGACGTAATCACGATGATCGAGTCTGCTCACGTAACAGGGGTCATTTTAGAAGGGTCAATTTTCCGAAACGTCATGTTGATCCGGAGACCCGACAGAGATTTCCGCTGTGGAAGAGAATGATACCAGTATGTGTTGGTCGGATAATTCATCATTAACAAGCTGCCATGTTCAAGGTTAATTGTCACAGGCGCAATCTTGCGAGTAGCATTTTTCCCTCTCGATTGCGCATGCTTGAAGACAAAGTCTCGTGGTTGTCCTAGCGACAGTGACGCTATAGGATGTTTGGGCACAAGCTCCCGTTCATCATCCCGGTGTTCTCCAATATGGTCACGTCCATCCTTGTATCTTAATTAACATCAGACAGCAAATATTACTGATAAAATATGAATATAGGAGGGTTAGCACAAATAGCATCCTAAGAAACTGAAAAGTGAAAGAAAATATCCCTTAAGTAATTGAAAATAACTCTTAACGATAAAATAACTACGATTAAAAACGATAAGTTCGGACTAACAAATAGTTAAATTTGCAATAGAATTTAAAAAGTCATTCTAATTATGTTGATCCCTCAATCATACACACCTGTTAATCAGAACGAAGTTAAATGTCCAACCAGTTGCCTTGGAAACCCGGGCCCGGATATTTTCCAATAAAGGTGTCCATGGCAATGCAGCCACAGATTTTCCGGAGTAACTGTAATTCAACCCATCATCACCATAGGCTGTCTGTAAAACAAACTTGATGGATACTTGGTTTTGAAACTATCATTCCATTATTATATTTCCGTCTATGTCACCAACGTTGATATAAAAACCGACAAATTGGCTGATTATACACAGTTGGCACTGAATAATGTATTTTTGTTTAAATCGTGTCAAATTCTGCTCAAGACCACAATTAATATGTTAGGGACTAACATTAAACTTGTAATCATTTACTGTTGTTGTAGTGGTTTACGGGCATACATTGTATACTGACTAAATCGTTTTATATTTAGTTTGTTACACTTGTGTTGTGCAATACACAATAAAATTGTCCTCTTGTTTAAATCGAGTTACTTCCCTTACACCGTAAATGTAAATATCTGTTATTCGCTTACCTGTTTTCGTGGTATATCGTGCCACTTTCCGAACACGTGAACTTGTGTCATTTGCCCTGTAAAATAGTTCAGAGACTTTTCACATTCCAAAATGAGATCGTCTGCTTCGGATCTAGAGTAAAGGACAGTGTATTTACAATCGAGATTCTCAGCAGTGTATTGTCGCCATTTTACAGTTTGGAATATAGCTGAATCAGGATTACTGTTCGCCTGTTTGTTTACTTTTGAAGTACCAGCAGATTGATTTGTTGACCCATCTTCTTCCTCATCTTTTTGGAGTTTCCGTCTTTTAATAGGTCGATCCATTCCGCCGTGAGCGCCGGGCACGTGTATGAAACTCCAAGTATAAACACCAAGCTATAAATAGCAGTGACAACACTGGAAACCCCCGGAACTTCTCTGAGGTTATCAAATCGTATCATGACGTACAAAAGTAGTAACCATTTCGGTAATGTATATAGTTTGGTGTTTAGTGCTCGTCTAAGTCGTATTATATGTCATTTACTTGTCCGGAACAAATGATCTCATCTGAAACCACATGACAAGAAAATAAGTTACAGTCTTTGTTTAAATTAGACATACATGTTCCGCCGTTATTATATATATTTGGGTGTTTTCCGTTTTGTTTTGTTTTGTTTTGTTTTAATTTAATTTTTATTCAATATAATGTACAGGTACATAATACAACAAATACTGATACCAGATACACAACCACAGGCTAGTCATCCATGCTACATGTAGGTATCGAGGTTACAGATACATTCATACTGGGGTTCAAAATCTTTATTGTATTACTGAAACATATATCACTCGAACATATATAATTACATTGAATATAAAACAGAATTTACTCATAATCACTGTCTTATCAATGGTACTCATGATTAACAAACACATGTTTATAGTACCACCTTACTGTTTCATTATCTTATAATACTGCATGGTTGTACAACGTGTGTTATCCATTAAAATAACTTTATGGAAAAACTTTCTATTTTTTTTAAAAATTTTTGACAAACATTAATAGGACAGGTAAATATAAAAGAAATATATATATATAGTTAAACTGCTTTATATATATAATTATATATATAGTATACTATACATTTTTATTTTTATTTATTTATTTATTTTTTTGTACAGTTTGAGATTATTGTAAGGTTTTGCATTTGTTTCCCTGTCAGTGTTAGAAATGTAGCAGGAATTACGATATCAAATTGCAAATGTTGGTAAAACATCTAGTATAAATAATTTAATGTTATGATCACGACTTCTTATTACTACATGGAAAAAGAAATGGGATCACACTGAAAACAATGGAGCTTATGAAGAATCTGCAATATTTGATCTACTTGATATGAGTGTCATATAATTTTAAACTGAAACTTGATATTTGGTCATGTGCACTCAGCAACTGTATTACAACATAAATTCTTGCAAATTTTGTTTTGTTTTTTTTTATGTTATTTTTTTCAGTGGGTAAATACTCAGTAAAAATGACACCACTCTATCGTATAACCACCATTAAAAACACATCGGGATGTGTTGACCTACATCTATAACATGTTCGTATGTTCATGTATTTAACCATTGTCTCGTGGTTCCTGTAGTTATTAAATATATTCACTTATGGTATTGATTTTTTTAAAAAATTCTGAAGAGAACTTTTTTCCTGTTTGTTTTACCTACAGGTTTATTTAATTCTTATTCAGCAAAACCATCGTATTTACACACTGTTTAATATACATTATAGCCAACAACACCTGTCTCTTTGAACGAAATATAATAATGAAGTAAACATGTAGAGATTTTTAACGAGAGAAATATTTGCGTTTGAATTTCAAGCTGTTTTTTCAACTGTATAAAAGTTAGATTTTCTTTTTCCCCCGTCTATTTCCGTTTGTCCTAATCAAGACAACAGCAACAAGGTTAAATTTCTACGTCCCCTGTCCTTTCAACATCACAGACCGAGTTTCATCTATGTCCGTCTTTCTAATCAGCAGTGACAGAGTTAAACCTACATCCGTTTATCCTAACTCCAAACATGAGTGGATTTTCCCTGCCATCATCTTTTTTTTATCATATCAATTACTACTTTATATAATGAAGGATGCAAGGTGTACCGTTAACGACTTAGGTCGGGATATTCTGTTAATATATAAACTTATCAGACTTGTATCTCCCATAGTCACGATCAGCCGGAGGCGATGATTATAGGAAACAGGATTAATCAACTCTGCGTTACTCCCCCAAGATAGTTCATTGTTATCAGTAGACCGAGCGGACTGCAGAATGTCCGACATTATCTCAGGAACCTAATTTATAGGACGACTTGGAAAAGATGATAAAAAAAGATTGCTTGCAAGATGAGACGACGTGCCCTTTCAGTTTGCTTTAAATGTATAATAAAATTTTCGAATTCCACAAACGACGACTTCTCAGGCTAAAATAGGTTCTCTGTATCGACATCGTCAACATCCGAAGTGGTTCGTAAACCCAGAGCTGTACACACGAATCCTTTTAACTACGATTGTTCATCTTTTTGGCGAGGAAATCGTCACCGCTTCTGCTTACTTTGTCCTGTTCTTTATACGGACAGATACTTGGGAAAAAAACGTCTTTGTGTTTCCTTCCTCAATCATGCAGAGATACGCTGAACAGGCAGACGGAATACGGGTGGTCGGGTGGTACAGTGGTAACGCACTCGCCTTTCACCTAGCCATCCGGGGTTTGACACCCGGAACGGACGTGAAAAGGTAAGGGTCACCTGCCCGACCACGTGAGTTTTCCCTGGGTACTCCGGTTTCCTCCCACAATAAGATCCCTCGCGCGCTTACCTCAGGGCCAGTGATCAGTATAAGTTGAAATAACTTGTTTCGCAATTGTTGTATAATAAATAAAGTTTCGAGTTGATAGAATACTGGAGCCCCCGTAATGTCACCACAAGTCTTGGAAGGGGCTTTTACATCGTAGACTACTCCATAAAACATGAAATGTTTATCCAAACAAGAGTTTGGTGACATACAAACTACCCTATATCCTTAATTGATCTCTAAATTATAAAAGGGGCACTTTCATTGGGAACTACAACGTATAAGGACATAAAGGACTACTACGAACTGTTTTTATATACATTACATCAAAATTAATGGATTCAGAAACAAGCACATCTACTTACATAAGTCCCCGTACATTCTTAGCGCAGCGATGGAACAGTACTGACACTATTTCATGAATTATTTACTTGTTACTTGTGCAGAGGAGGCGACAGAGAAAGGGCACAAGGCTCAAGATTGTGATGATTCTGAGGGTTCATGACTACAGTTCTGGAACATACACCGATTACAATATAATCATATAACTATACCTTCACAGTGGCTTTTCAAGCTGTAGTAAGCAAATCCTCATACAAAACAAGCACTGCGAATTAATATTAATTATGTAATACAATTTAGAATTATGTAATATTAAAAAAATCTGATGTTGATGGAAGGAGCCTGCATCAGCGAACTCGCAGAAATTTTCATAGTCATCATTATCCATTGGCTTGATCGAGTCTGCTCACGTAACAGGGGTCATTTTAGAGGGGTCAATTTTCCGAAACGTCATGTTGATCCGGAGTCCCAACAGAGATTTCCGCTGTGGAAGAGAATGATACCAGTATGTGTTGGTCGGATAATTCATCATTAACAAGCTGCCATGTTCAAGGTTAATTGTTACAGGCGCAATCTTGCGAGTAGCATTTTTCCCTCTCGATTGCGCATGCTTGAAGACAAAGTCACGTGGTTGTCCAAGCGACAGCGACGCTATAGGATGTTTGGGCTGGAGTTCCCGTTCATCATCGCGATGTTCTCCCATATGGTCACGTCCATCCTTGTACCTGACAAACATCGAGATCAACGAGTAAAGAGTATGATTAAGAAAAAGCAAAAACAAAAAACAAAAACAAAACGGTTAGCATCAAATAGTAATTCTCGCAATCATGATCCTTGACGTCGCGTTCTCGCTCCCTGTCACGTGTTCTCGCTCTAGATCTGTTGACCTTAGTCTAAAGAGATATAACTGTCTCTCCGCGATTTCGTTTTGCTTTGGTCGCGGTCAATAGTCAGAATTCCTCCCCATATATATAAACGCCAAATTCTAATGACCCGTGATAGTTTTAAACCATACATCGACGGGAATAGATTTTTTCTACTAGCCTACACATGTGTCAAAATAATTAATTGGAAATCAGTGTATGATTGATAACTTTCGCTCTGTTGTGAATCATAAAGATATAATTCAAAATTACTGAAAGTCGACATGTAAACGGGTCTCAAAAGATTTGGCCTTGACCGCGACCGATAGCCAGAAACCTTGGGACTATGTTGACCTAAGTTCAAGGGAACGAGAAATGGCGTGATCTCGGAGATGGCCCGAATCGGCCGCCATATCAAAAACCTATACTATACAGTGGCGTAACGATCACAGAAATACAAGGACCAACAGTAGATAAATCTTATGGACTACGGGAAAATGAACTACTGATGATAAATTTTCGGTCCAAACCGAATAAGTGATTCTGATATACCAATTTAACTTATATCCAATTTACCAATCTTACAAACCTATTAATCAGAACGAAGTTAAATGTCCATCCCGTTGCCTTGGAAACACGGTCCCGGATGTTCTCCAATAGAGGTGTCCATGGCGTGGCAGCGATGGTATTGCCGGAGTAACGGTACGTCAGACCATCATCACCATAGGCTGCCTGTTGTAAAATAAACACCAAAATACTGGAACTAATTCTGTTTCATTATCAGACCCTTATATAACTCAATACATGTACCTCGAGAGTTGTCCTCTTCAAGAGAAAAATTCGCTTTACAGTTTTTACCATAATGGCGAGTTTTTTTCAATAGAAAAAAAATAAGTTTCTACAAGGACAATCATGACGTGTTATTTTCATTTTATTGATATATATATATATATTTCAATTCTTTACGAAGTTGTGTTTGGTTTGTTAATAATTAATTAATGTCATATTTATAAAACATTCTTTTAGTTTTCCCTCCTCGTCATTCGTTCAATATCCTTGTTGCCACGTTTTGATGTTGTGACCTTGGACTGCATTTCGCGTATTAAACTAAGGTTACCTCCCTTACCCCATCATTCACCTCACCTGTTTTCGTGGTATATCGTGCCACTTTCCGAACACTTGCACTTGAGCCATCTGCCCGGTAAAATAGCTTAGAGACTTTTCACATTCTAAAATGAGATTGTCTGCTTCCGACCTAGAGTAAAGGACAGTGTATTTACAATCTAAATTCTCTGCAGTGTATTGTCGCCATTTCACAGGTTTTAGCACCGCAGAATCCGGATTAGGTCTAACGTTCACGTGTTTGTTTTCTTCCGATGTCCCTACTGATTGATTTCTTGACCCATTTGACCCTTCCACTTCATCATCTTTCTGGAGTTTCCGTCTCTTACATGTAACAAACCGATCCATCATGTCAAAGGGGGGTCATTTTCACATGAATCTCCAGCATGCCGTGAAAGGGTCAGCATCTCGATGTTTGTTCCGAGTACATGTTATTAAACATTCGGAAACCCTCTGACCTATAATTATAATAGTTTGTGGCTACAACGCGATATATGAGAAATCATGACAGAATTTCTTTTAAAAAAAATTTCATATAGCAAAATATTTTACCTCTAAATATTAGAAACATTATTTAGAATTTTCTTTTTTCCCCACAGAAAACAATGATCAAAATAACAAACTTTATTCATTAAAAAATAATTATTTGGAATTGTTATTTCCAATGACTACGTTTTGTCCGCCTGGATGTGTTTGAATTTCATTTCACTAACACAAGTCTCTAAAGTTAGCAGGAATAGGGAAGAATCAAAGCACTTGATTAAGGGAAGAATCAAAACACTTGATTTCTCCGATTACCTTTGGAATGTCGCCTTTATCCGTCTGTTCGGCACCCCTAATTGACACACTGGAAAAAATACCTTTATGTCGCATTTTAGGCGGTACTTTTCGTCGAAACGGTTAAAAGTGTTGGTTGTAAAATATATATCCGGGTGGTTTATTTTGTCATGTTATGTTTACAAATTACGGATAGCGTTCGTCCATATCTCTCTGCATTGAGTGTCCTTCTGTGCGTCCATGTCCGTCTCTGTTGATTGAACTTCTGTACGTCCATGTCCGTCTCTATTGATTGTCCTGTTGTGCGTCCATGTCCGTCTCTATTGATTGTCCTTCTGTGTGTCCATGTCCGTCTCTATTGATTGTCCTTCTGTGCGTCCATGTCCTTCTCTATGGATTGTCCATCTGTGCGTCCATGTCCGTCTCTATGGATTGTCTTTCTGTGCGTCCATGTCCGTCTCTATTGATTGTCCTTTTGTGCGTCCATGTCCGTCTCTATTGATTGTCCGTCTGTCAGTCCATGTCCGTATTTATTGATAGTCTTTCTGTTCGTCTGTGTCCATATGTACTGACTATTCTTCTGAACTACAGAAAAGTATGCGTCCACATTTGGTGGACAGCGGAATGTTGCATCATAAAACCGGATTGTTTTCCGTATAACAATGAACTATCACAGAAAAAATAGTTATGTACTTTAAAAAAATTCTTTCAAAAACTTTAGATAAAAAATATAACAACGTATCGGTCTATGATTAGATACTACATGTCTGCCCCCTCCCCCACCCCCCTCTCCCCCAACCCCCCTTATTTAATACAGATCTACTCAGTACACTACACAATATCCGCGTACTTTACAGATAACTCGAAACCATACCGATATCTTCAATATCATACAGATTATACTCGGTACACTACACAATATCCGGGTACCATCAACTTAACTCAAAAACAAGGGTTTGAGTATTTGTATATGATAGAATAGGAGTGAAGATGTATTAGTATATAAAATAGGAGTGTTTGAGTATTAGTATGTAGAATAGGAATGTAGGAGTATTAGTATATAGAATAGGAGTATTAGTATGTAGTATAGGGGTGTAGGAGTATCAGTATATAGAATAGGAGTGTAGGAGTATTAGTATATAGAATAGGAGTATTAGTATATAGAATAGGAGTGTAGGAGTATTAGTATATAGAATAGGAGTGTAGGAGTATTAGTATATAGAATAGGAGTATTAGTATATAGAATAGGAGTGTAGGAGTATTAGTATATAGAATAGGAGTGTTGGAGTATTAGTATATAGAATAGGAGTGTATATAGAATAGTAGTGTAGTATATAGAATATATAGAATATTAGGAATAGTGTAGGAGTATTAGTATATAGAATAGGAGTGTAGGAGTATTAGTATATAGAATAGGAGTATTAGTATATAGATATAGGAGTGTAGGTATATAGAATAGTATATTAGTATATAGAATAGGAGTGTAGGAGTATTAGTATATAGAATAGGAGTGTTGGAATATTAGTATATAGTATAGGGGTGTAGGAGTATTAGTATATAGAATAGGAGTATTAGTATGTAGAATAGGAGTGTAGGAGTATTAGTATATAGAATAGGAGTGTAGGAGTATTAGTATATAGAATAGGAGTGTAGGAGTATTAGTATATAGAATAGGGGTGTAGGAGTATTAGTATATAGAATAGGAGTGTAGGAGTATTAGTATATAGAATAGGAGTGTAGGAGTATTAGTATATAGAATAGGAGTGTAGGAGTATTAGTATATAGAATAGGTGTGTAGGAGTATTAGTATATAGAATAGTAGTGTTTGAGTATTAGTATATAGAATAGGAGTGTAGGAATAGTATGTAGTATTATATATAGAATAGGAGTATTAGTATATAAAATAGAGTGTATTAGTATATAGAATAGGAGTGTATATTAGTATAGGAGTGTAGGAGTATTAGTATATAGAATAGGGAGTGTAGGAGTATTAGTATATAGAATAGGAGTGTAGGAGTATCAGTATATAGAATATATTAGTATATAGAATAGGGGTGTAGGAGTATTAGTATATAGAATAGGGGTGTAGGAGTATTAGTATATAGAATAGGGGTGTAGGAGTATTAGTATATAGAATAGAAGTGTAGGAGTATTAGTATATAGAATAGGAGTGTAGGAGTATTAGTATATAGAATAGGAGTGTAGGAGTATTAGTATATAGTATATAGTATATAGGGAGTGTAGGAGTATTAGTATATAGTATATAGGGAGTGTAGGAGTATTAGTATATATATAGAATAGGAGTGTATATTAGTATATAGAATAGGAGTAGGAGTATTAGTATATAGAATAGGTAGTATAGTATATAGAATAGGAGTGTAGTATAGTATATAGAATAGGAGTGTATTAGTATATAGAATAGGAGTGTTGGAGTATTAGTATATAGAATAGGGGTGTAGGAGTATTAGTATATAGAATAGGAGTGTTGGAGTATTAGTATATAGAATAGGAGTGTTGGAGTATTAGTATATAGAATAGGAGTGTTGGAGTATTAGTATATAGAATAGGGGTGTAGGAGTATTAGTATATAGAATAGGAGTGTAGGAGTATTAGTATATAGAATAGGAGTGTAGGAGTATTAGTATATAGAATAGGAGTGTAGGAGTATTAGTATATAGAATAGGAGTGTAGGAGTATTAGTATATAGAATAGGAGTGTAGGAGTATTAGTATATAGAATAGGAGTGTAGGAGTATATAGAATAGGAGTGTAGGAGTATTAGTATATAGAATAGGAGTGTTTGAGTATCAGTATATAGAATAGGAGTGTTGGAGTATTAGTATATAGAATAGGAGTGTTGGAATATTAGTATATAGAATAGAAGAGTAGGAGTATTAGTATATAGAATAGGAGTGTAGGAGTATTAGTATATAGTATAGGGGTGTAGGAGTATTAGTATATAGAACAGGAGTATATAGAATAGGAGTATTAGTATATAGAATAGGAGTGTAGGAGTATTAGTATATAGAATAGGTGTGTAGGAGTATTAGTATATAAAATAGGAGTGTAGGAGTATTAGTATATAGAATAGGAGTGTAGGAGTATTAGTATATAGAATAGGAGTGTAGGAGTATTAGTATATAGAATAGGAGTGTAGGAGTATCAGTATATAAAATAGGAGTGTTTGAGTATCAGTATATAGTATAGGAGTGTAGGAGTATTAGTATATAGAATAGGAGTGTAGGAGTATTAGTATATAGAATAGGAGTGTAGGAGTATTAGTATATAGATATAGAATAGTGTAGGAGTATTAGTATATAGAATAGGAGTGTAGGAGGAGTATATAGTATATAGAATAGGAGTGTTAGGAGTATTAGTATATAGAATAGGAGTGTAGGAGTATTAGTATATAGAATAGGAGTGTAGGAGTATTAGTATATAGAATAGGTGTATATAGAATAGGAGTGTAGGAGTATTAGTATATAGAATATGGAGTGTAGGAGTATTAGTATATAGAATATGGAGTGTAGGAGTATTAGTATATAGAATAGGAGTGTAGGAGTATTAGTATATAGAATAGGAGTGTAGGAGTATTAGTATAGAATAGTATATTAGTATATAGAATAGGATGTAGTAATGGTTACACACAGGAATGTAGTAATGGTTACACACAGGAATGTAGTAATGGTGACACACAGGAATGTAGTAATGGTTACACACAGGAATGTAGTAATGGTTACACACAGGAATGTAGTAATGGTTACACACAGGAATGTAGTGTAGTAATGGTTACACACAGGAATGTAGTGATGGTTACACACAGGAATGTAGTAATGGTTACACACAGGAATGTAGTAATGGTTACACACAGGAATGTAGTAATGGTTACACACAGGAATGTAGTAATGGTTACACACAGGAATGTAGTAATGGTTACACACAGGAATGTAGTAATGGTTACACACAGGAATGTAGTAATGGTTACACACAGGAATGTAGTAATGGTTACACACAGGAATGTAGTAATGGTTACACACAGGAATGTAGTGATGGTTACACACAGGAATGTAGTAATGGTTACACACAGGAATGTAGTAATGGTTACACACAGGAATGTAGTAATGGTTACACACAGGAATGTAGTAATGGTTACACACAGGAATGTAGTAATGGTTACACACAGGAATGTACACAGGAATGTAGTAATGGTTACACACAGGAATGTAGTAATGGTTACACACAGGAATGTAGTAATGGTTACACACAGGAATGTAGTAATGGTTACACACAGGAATGTAGTAATGGTTACACACAGGAATGTAGTAATGGTTACACACAGGAATGTAGTAATGGTTACACACAGGAATGTAGTAATGGTTACACACAGGAATGTAGTAATGGTTACACACAGGAATGTAGTAATGGTTACACACAGGAATGTAGTAATGGTTACACACAGGAATGTAGTAATGGTTACACACAGGAATGTAGTAATGGTTACACACAGGAATGTAGTAATGGTTACACACAGGAATGTAGTAATGGTTACACACAGGAATGTAGTAATGGTTACACACAGGAATGTAGTAATGGTTACACACAGGAATG